GGAGCTAAGACTAATCTAAAATGTTTATTGCTTTGCTTAAAAAAACCACAAAGATTTGGCGTTTTAATGTCATTCGTCTAGATTGTCTCAGACTTGTCCTCAAACACTTCCCGAAGTACTTCCTTACACTCGTTGTGAAGCGTGTTCAAAAACTTCCATCGGTCGCAGACAATTTTGACATCAGAGTCGGTTCTTTGGTCTCCCTTTCCTGGTTCTGGTTTGCTTTCTAGGGCATTTTCCAGCTCGGATTTTGCATTCAATATGCAAATATGGAGCTCATCGCTGCCTGAGGTCTGAATGGCTGACTCTGCGCGCTGTTTGACACTCTCTAGGACAGTCTTCCATGAGCGCAGGCGTTTCAGCTGCTCTTCAAGGAAGTCCACCTCAGGCTTGAAGATTTGGTTGACACCAACTTTTAGATCGTGTTCTCTTGTAGAGAGGGCACCGTGCAGCTGCCATAACAAACAAATCAGTGATCACATCTAATCTCAGGCATTTTTTGTACGACAAATTAAGGTGAGTGTTATAATACAACGTCAAAGCCAAAGTGTTGGAGGAAAATGCTTTTTATCTCAGCAAACTACAGCTGAAACTATGAATCCACTGAATCCAGAAAGCTGCGAAAAATTTAGCGTAGTATTCTTGCCTTTTTTTCGGCACTTGGATTTTTAAAAATCGATGCCTTCATCGCTATTCCCCGCGCTTTGCGAGCACGCTGGCAAAAGTAAACTATGGATAAGTTCACTTGTCACCGGGCGATTTTAAAATTCTTTCGTTTAGGTGTTCCGTTCAATTGGAACCATCTTAATTTCGTGACTAGCCGTTCAAAACTTTGAAAGCCAAAATCGAGGGGTTTTTTAGCGGATGCGGTCGAAAATGTGACCGGCAAGGTGTGAATACAATAACCATGGAGGCGTTGTAAATCTGCCGGGGAGATGCCTTGGATTTGCTAAAGAACCTAAACAGGAGTACCCAACGTCAATTTTCGGAAAATATCTGTTCGGAAGACGATTTGAGATCTAGAATTTTCGGAACATTTGTTGTAAAATTTCTTGCTTGCCTCCCTCTTCTAGGATTTTCGAACATCTAAAAAATGGTATAATTGCCCATTTTTAACGAATTTTTACCCTGAAAAGGTCACCTAACTATATTCGGGAGCCCTTTTTCTGGCTGAAATTTTCGGAAAGGTAAGTTTTGATCCTTATAATGTTTGGATCACTAGATTTTCAGCTAGGAAATCCGAACAAATGAAAAATTTTTAGGGGATAAAAATATGCCTATATCTACCGTTTAAATACTAAAACACGTTTAACAATGCTATGTTTAACTGGTTTTGAACTATATTCTCGTTGGGTGCCCCTGCCTAAAGCATAGCACTCTGTGCATGGGCAGATGGTCAAACCACTGGAAGTTAAAACTCAACCTGGTTTGTCAGTTTCGGGTGAAAAGATTCTGAAAAAAGCGAAAATGTTGAGCGCTTCAGTGTAAACAAAGTGCCCAGTTAAACTTTTCGACCGGTTGAAAATTCGTCCGCTGCCGTCAGAACCCTGGGAGTGAACGCCAAATTTCGCAAATTTCGATATACGCGATATTCTTATAAAATATATTCTTATAAAAAAGAAAGATTGTAACAAGACTAAGTCAACCTAGATAACCCAAACAACACAATAACGAAGTAACTCTAACAGACCTCTTTGAAGAAGCTTTGAATGTCCGTTACCCCCTGTTCATGAGCTTTTTTCAGGTCCGAACACGTCTCCATCTCTTCATCTTCTATGACCTTAGCTTCACCAAGAAGGATGTTGGTCTCTTCGATTAAATCTTCCACTTCCGGTTGGTACTTAAAGGCAGCTTCAGCTAATGGTAAACAAACGTGACCAAAGTGTTCTACAGCGATGCATTCCCTACAAACAACATAACCGCACCGTTCATCGAAAAACCGGAATTTATCGTTGTGTTTTTGGCAGATGAGGGATACAGAAGCGAGCTGAGGGTTTGCTTCCAGCTCTTCGAGGGAAACAACCCGATGGTCGCGACTTGCCTTGTTGCGAGTATGAAACTGAGCTGCAGTTTTGCACATGTTTTCTTTGCAGTCAAGGCAGCAGAAATTTGCAGGATGTTTCTTATCGCAAGCTTCACATTCGTGTGAGCCCTTACTTCTATTCCCTGCTAGCGAAGGCCTCTTTTCTCTGGTATTTGGCAAAACGTGTTGTTTGGGTGTCGTTTCGTTCACGATGTCCAGTAATGCAAAATTCTTTGACAGGCCATGGACCCCAGATGGAACGACAACTGGATTTCTGCATTGGGGACAATCAATGGTGTTACCACGGAGTAACCTTTCCAAGCAACACGAGCAAAAGCTGTGTCCACAACTCAGCAGTCGAGGACATTTGTTTTCGTCATTGTAACGTTCAAAACAGATTGAACACTCCGGTCCCTTGGATGCCATTGTCTATAAAACATAAACAGTCCAAAATTTTTCACATTTAGGAATGAAGAAGTAATTTTCGAAATGATTAAAAATGAGAAAAAAGCCATCTCTCAAATTTGTCACATTTTTGTTGACCCTCTTTAAAAGGTTCATTGCTGTCTTAGCTCGTAAGTGCCATCGACATGATTGTCAGTGTCGTTGGCAGTTTTTCTTTCGTCCCCCTGGACTTTGCTTAGTCTTACAGAGAAACCATTTATAACATCAGTACAGCAAATTGTTTTGTTATGCAAACATCAATGTTTTGTTCATGCACTTATCTCCAACTGGAGTTTTAACAGAAAAAAATTTAATGATCAAATACTATAACATGACTTGGACCAAAGAAATGAAAATTATTAGTTTAGTTCGTCCCATGTGAAAGATCGACGTTTGTCCTGGAGACGATCTTCAGACGGATAGAACAACGTGTTGGACGATCCAAACTTAAGTGAGCCAGAGGTCGAACTTTTCAAAACTTAACTCGGCTAGGTGCAGTTCGTCTCATGTAAAGTTCGACGTTTGGTCTAAGCCTTACAGTAACAATTACGAATAAAAGGTACAATTGCCAGTACAGTCTAAAAGTAATGTCACCGTGAGTGGTGACCTCTATACTACGTATACTACGTATTGCATAATTGGTAGCGCTTCTCACAATACACAAGCGATCTTTCTTCTTTAAGACTGAGCTTCAGTTTGTTTCCCATGTGATACTTAAGATTATCTAACTGCATACAACGCCGGTTACGTCCGTTGAAAGAATGCATGCGCGGATGCACACCGGTTTCCACCGTTTTACGGAAATCGGTGACAGTTCACTCATAATAATACATTTTTAATAATAAAAACACTTTCCACGTTGAAATCTGGTCAATATCCTGTTCGAATGACTCGGAACCCAGGAAAGGGGACTTAAGGAGTAAAAATCCAAAAAAATTTCCTGGGGGAGCCCGCCCCCCGATCCTTCTAGAAGCTTGCACCTTCGGCGCTCGTTTATGAAATCGGTCAGTATTTATCCCAGAGATCCGCGCCTGGAATGCGCACACATATTTTTGCTAAACAATGTAATACTTCTCATAAAGTGATAACAAATAGTAAAAAGGCTGGTACATTATGAAAAGCCAGTGGTTTTTGACACAGTCAATGTGGCTTGAAGCTTTTCGATTCAAAATCTCTTGTTGTTTATGAAATAACTGAATTGAGAACTTTCCCGTGCCTAGGTCTATCTAACCACGTAAAGAATGTTATTAACGCGTGAAAATGTAGGAAATATCGTGATCCCATTTACTAAATACTAGCGTAAATGTACCGTAAAGTTGCGTACATATTGATGTAAAGCTTACATTTCACTAATAAAGCAATATTTAATCTACAGATCTAAACTCGACTTGAAAATGTCCTGTCGGAGCTAATCCGACAGAGCGATAGCAGAGCTAGGTTGAATAGTCGAATCTACTGCCATACAATAAACTCTGCCTTACAGTAATTTAATAAAAGAAGTTGTACATACCTTTTGTAAAGCAAAACGCTCACCGAAAGTAAGTGTAAGAACCTTTTTGTCGAATATTTCTCCACCGTCTGCACTTCCGCCTTGTTGTCGCGAACGGACTTAATGGCGCTGTTGGCCGAGAGGGCTTGGTACACTAAATTCCAGTCCTCACTCCTCTTAATCACTCTTCAATCCTGGATTTCTACTTCCATCTCAGTGGTTTCCAGCCCTCGCCCCTAGGCCACTCAATAGGCACCTTACGATCCGACAAGGGGCGACGTCCATGAAAACATCGCTGAAAAATAGACTTCACATTCTTATTCGCTATTATCCCAATTCGCCCTGTTACTTAGAAGAAGGGAATTTTGGTTGGAGCTGAAGAGAAGGGACCGCGCCCGAGTTCAGACAGAGATGGTAGAATTTATCGCCTCGCCGTTCCCGTTCTCAAGTAAACTTAAAATTTGGTCATTTAATTTCACGTCGTAGTTGTGCAAGGACAGTAAAAAAGTATACAAAAAAGCGTGATGCACGTGCAGAGTTGCTTTTTTGCTCATTAAACCAAGATAGATCATTCTCTCTTGGGAATACTCAGTTTAAACTAGTAATAATTGCAAATTAGGGGAGTGCGTTCAATGGGGAAGGGGAGGGTGGTGGGTTGTGAGTGGTAGTGAGAAGGGGGTGCAAAGCCTAATGGGCTTGTAATAACGAGAAATCAAAATCAAACACTTTTATCGATATGAATATCAGCAGCTGTCTTTATTAGTGTTATTGTTTGTCCTCCCACTTTACAATTCGTTACTATTTCATCAGTTTCCTCTAAAATGCAAGAGCGTACTGTACTTTTTACATTTAATAGGCTAAACCTCTAAGTAAAGTACATGTAAGTAACAACAGGTCAAACACTGACTATGATCCTCAGCATATTCTTTTGCACTATAGGATGATCAATAAAACTGGCTAAAAATTGGGATACAGAAAATTGAAATTATCTGAAAAGTTTAAGCGTCGCGTATCACTTTAAACCTTTGTTGTGTGACACTAGGCTAACACGACTCACCTACTTAGCACTGTTTTCAAAATACAACGCACCCAGAATTAGTGAGATGAAAAGGTCGACGTTTCACTGTTCAACTTCTTGTATATTTTTCAAAAATGGTGAGAAACAAGAGCAAATACAACGCTGTAAATAGCTTTTAAAAGCGAAAAGATGTAATTTGTAATAGAATCAAATATGGTCGATCTAAGCTGATCTCGCTTGAATCCATAAAAACAAATACAGCGTGCAGAACGCATTGTTAACATAATGTCTACATATACGATTATCTTAATTAGAATGGAAATTTTCCTATGATAAAAAACTTAATTGAAAAGTGCGAGAAAAACTGTAAGCAGACCTGTGGTAAATGGAAAATCGCCAACGTTTCATCTGTGAACGAGTGTCACAAAATAGATACCAGCTCCCGGGCGGGAAAAATTGAACACATGAGATCGAGGTAAAGTGTGCCAGGCCGGTCCAAGATGGCGTCCAAACCGTGAAATCGCATGGCATACAGAACGGTTACTACTTCGCGTACGGTAAACGAATAGTAGGCGTCCTCCTTCGTCGAACGCAAATATTATTTCACCGAAATTTATCACATGAACCAATCGCACAAATAGAAAACTTTTTCTCACATCGTGTACCACTGGTATGAGTTGCATTACGTAAATCAACACTTTTATGACTTGAACAAGGGGCTTTTATTCAACAATTCTCTTTGTGCGAGTTGCGCCGCCTGCTTAAGGTCTCGGTAAAGGAAAACGAGGTGCCCACAGAAAAAAATGCTAGTCGCGCGAGTATTTTCGCTACAAAGGCAAGTTATATATCAAATTAAAGCTAAAAGACTAAATTACCTTATAAAAGATTTTATTTCATCGAATTTCAAAAGGCCCTTAAGTTTTTTGCTTTCGAACTCAGAGGTATCGAGTTTACTGCTGAAGCTCCAGCCCTTTCGCCTTGCTAAATATTCACTTCCTTTTTATTGCATCTGATTGACAGATAAAAGACCTAAAAAAGAGTGTGAGGAAATTTGCATATGTCTCGTATTAGCGGAATTATTGCATTTCAAACTAAAAAGTCGAATCTCGAGCGCGATTTACGCAAAGAAACTGACATAAAATGAGTTACAAAGGGAAATCGGAAAATTCCTCACACCGCTTTTGAGTCTATATCATTATCCATCCTATCTGAAAGTTTCAAAGCGATAGCTTAAAACCTGTCCCGACTGGAGGTCGGAGAATTTTGATTTTTGCGTCTAAAATATAGTGAGAGAAAATCAGCTCTAAAGATTTAGCTCGAAGTCCACGCAACTTATGGCGGGAAACAGAAAAGGCTCATTAAAGAAGGGTTAAAAAGCACTTTCTGATTTTCTTTTTCTGCCAAAATAAAATTTAGGACCCACTCATGCCAAAAATAAAAAAAAAACAAAATCGAGTAATGTAGTAAAATTTTCATTTACCGAGACCTTAAAAGGTCTACCCTGCCTTGTTTCCGAATACCCCCTCCTCATATTAAAATGACAGGAAGGAGAAAGCGAGCAAGGCCTTTTCTATCTTCTTCTCGTGGTCCCTCGCGCTCCGTTAAAACTAACAGTCACGTTTATGCATGAATTCAGGCCATCGACTTTGGCTCGTCACATGACGAAGAGGTTTAACATTTACAGCAAAAGGGCTGCCTCTAATGTGTGCACCTCGCAAGCACACGGACAATGTCAATTTACCATACATCTTGTCGACAGTATATTCTGCCAAGTAAGTTCCATCCTTTTGGTCCTTTAACTCTACATTTATTTCATCTCCGCCCACCTCTGGTTTCAGTTTCACCACAAAAACGTCGCCACCACGCTTGCGTTGAAAGTTTCGGCTGTCGTGAGAAGTAATAGTGAATGTCACTTTCCTTCCAGGGTTTGCAGTTGTTATTCCCCGGCCAGTTGCAATAGTGTTTGCTGCACAGGTTGATATGTCACTGATGTCGCCTGCGCTCTGGATAGCTTCCTCAATACTCTTGTTGGGATGGTGAGAAAATGACTGAAAGAGATCGATATCGTTGCAGTGAGTCCTTGCCTATTTCAAATTCTTTACAACTTCAATTTTGAAAAGCTCATTTACTAAAAAACTATTTACTTGGCACGCGTAGTCATCTTTCACTTGATATTCTGTTTCTTCGCAGTTTTATAAAATAAAATTGACTATGCGACAACCACATTTTAAGCAACTTATGGATGAGTTCGTAGAGAAATATATTTGTGAACTTAGAAATGCATTTTGGTGTGTCTGTAATATAATCGATCGTGGGGAACGAATGTGCGCAATGCTGGCCCACACTATTGGTATAGTCTGAATAAAACGGCCGCACAATCATATACTTTCTTCAGGCGATCCTCAAGATCATAATTCAAAACCTTCAGACTAGCAATGCAGCTTCTCAGAATAACAAGCAGAGACAACATAAGAAAAAAACTCAGAATCTTCGAGCAAGGGAAAAGCTCGTGGGGGGTGGGATTTTCCCAAAACGAAAACACGTGATACTCAGTCCCAGTTTCCCACATAGTCTATACAGGCTTAGACTTCTCGCGACTTCGCTCGCTGAGAAACTTGTGAGGTCGACTTGTAGCAAGAATATATACAGGCAGTGTGGACTGTGGAGTGACTGCGACACAGACAACGGGCGTTGCATCCACTATATTGTAAAAGGAGATTAATATTTCCCCGTTTCTGATTGGCTTAAATCCTCGGCAAATTCTTCAAAACTAGTTAGCGTTGACCAAATTTGGATGACGTTTGGGATATCGCAAAAAAAGGCGTTAATCGTGCAGGATAACTGCAGAAATAGGTAGACAACCGTGACGCCCTGGGGAAGAGGTTGTGTTGGCTCAGCTCAGGCTCTATTGATAGAGCTGGAGAATTTCACACGAAAATGAACATATACTACTCCAAAAATGACAACTACCCTGGTCCCAGATCGCCACTTTGCACAGTTCGCTCTCTCTTACGCAGAGAAAAATTTCCAGAAAAACGTCCGGGACCAGGGTAGATGACAACTGCTATGTAAAGAATATCTGCTAGAATATTCATCCCGGAGAAAAGAATGGCGCTCGAACATAACCGTTAGTCTGGGTCCCAGGCTAATTCATGGATAACTAAAATCAAAATTTGAATTCTCACCATTCTTTCCTCTTCGCTCTTGGTGAACTCTGTCATAAACTGTGCCTCTGGGTCAAGCACTATTGAGTAACATTTTTCGGTCTCGAGCGTGGAGACTATATCCGGCCTGCTGAGAAGGAACTGAACATCACTCGGAGATTGGATGGAGGACTTTGCTCGTTGAACTGCACTCTTTAAAAATGCTTGGTTTACTTCCAAACGGTCGAGCTGCTCCGTGAGGATGGACTTTGTTTGTCGATATATACTGGATAACTTATCCATCAAAACTTGCTCTCGGTTAGATAGTGCGGAATGAAGCTATAAATATACAAAAGAAAACACACACTAGCTCTATAATATCCGCAGATCTATCCCGGACATAGAATCGAGATAAAAAACGGTTGATAGCTGCGTCCCGAGGTGCGTAGTCTGTGTGCAAAGGACATTGGAGACGTTTGCACGCAGGCTATGAAGACGCCTTTAACGCGGAAGTTCTTAGGGCTTACGTCTGTGTGTTAGGCTAGCTACGAGGTGAGTTCAGTGAATACGTTTACAATCATGATCCGGGAGCGGCGTACCCTTAAACATCTAAATCATTGGCCTTCGGGATAGGTATCAACAAATCACTGGTTTCTGCATTCCACGTTGAGATTATCATTTTTCTTTATCTAATTGTTAGCAGAAGCTATTAATCAGCAATAGAAAATTCGGATCGTAACTCGTGAGTGGTAAGGAATACTTCTTGCAGCGTAAATGTCATCCACCCCAAAAACAAAGATATGCTATACCTCTCTAAAAAAGCCTTGAATTTTTTCACGCTGTTCTTCGCAAGCTACCTCCATGAAAAAAAGTTCATCCATCACTCCACCTTCAGCAGCATAAATCTTTTCGGCTTGACAGCTGGCTTTGCTTCCAAGCGCCTCCATCTCTCGTCGGTATTTTGAAGCAGCTTCAGCTACAATTACACACTTGTGCCCGTTATGATTAAGGGTATAACAGTCTCTACAAATAACATGACCACAATTTTCGTCGAAAAAGCGGAATGGATCGTTATGCTCCGGACAGAGAACCGATACAGATGCCACCTGAGGGTTTGCTTTCAGTTCCTTGAAGGTAACAACCCGGTGGTCACGACTTAATTTGCTGCGTTTATGAATCTGAGCCGCAGCTTTGCACATGTTTTCTTCGCAGTCCAAGCAAAAGAACATCGATTGGTGTTTCTCATCACAAGCCTCACATTCGTGCGTGCCTGTATAACCTAAATTTTCAGCATGTTGTTTGGGTGCTGTTTCGTTCACGATGTCCAGTAACGCAAAATTCTTTAACAGGCCATGGACCCCAGAAGGAACGGCAACTGGATTTCTGCATTTAGGACAATCAATAGTGTTACCACGGAGTAATCTTTCCAAGCAACGCGAGCAGAAGCTGTGTCCACAACTCAGCATTCGAGGGCATTTCTCTTTGTCATTGTAACCTTCAATACAGATCGAACACCCCAGTTCCTTGGATGCCATTTTCTATAAAACATAAATAGTCAAAACTTTTTCGAAAAGATAAAAAAGGAGAAAAAAGCCACCTCTCAAATTGGTCGCATTTTTTTTTACCCTCTTTAAAAGGTTCATTGCTGTCTTAGCTTGTAAGTGCCATCGACATGATTGTCAGTGTCGTTGGCAGTTTTTCTTCCGTCCCCCCTGGACTTCGCTTAGTCTCACAGAGAAACCATTTATAACATCAGTGCAGCAAATTGTTTTGTTATGCAAAAACATCAATGTTCGTTCGCAATGTTTACTGAGGCAATGCTTTTTGGGACATCGCAAAGGCTTGCTAAGGTAGATCAGTTTTCAGTCAGTGTTAATGGGTCTGCGAGTTACTGAGTTTAAGTACCTGGATGTCATCTTTGATGAACTTCTCAGCTGGAACGAACATGTTAAAGAAATTGTGTCGAAAGCTGGCAGGCAGGTCGCTCTATTAGGACGTGTTCGCTGTTACATCACCACACAAAGTGCAAATGCCATTTTTTATCTATGATTAGACCGATTTTAGACTACTGTGCTGGGGTCTGGGGGATCTGTGGGGAACTAAACAGTGCAACTCTAGAAACTCTGTAGAAGCGCGTTGGAAGAATTGTAATTAAAACATCTAGTAGCCGACACTGCGATGAAAGCTTTGAAGTGGCCAAGTCTTAGATCCAGGCGCGATAAACACATCCTAAAACGTTTAAGGAAATGTATACATGGTCGGTGCCCTCAGTATCATTTTAAGGAGTACTTTGTTTTTAACAAGGACATTTGTACTCGTTCAACCCGCCAGAGCAATGTCTTGCATCTGCCTGCTATAAGAACAGAAGTGGCCAAGACATCCCTTTATTACCATGGAAGTATTGTTAATCTCCATAATCTTGAAAGATCTTGTTATTAGTTCATTTGTTATATTACCTTGTATATATATATACATATATTTTATTATTATTATTATTATTATTATTATTATTGCCCCCGCAGGGATTTCGCCCAGAAGACGAAATCCCGAGGAGGCACTCTAGTAACTCGCGCGTATATTAAGGAAAGTACTTACAGTTGAAATATACAGTCACACAGTCAATATGGAAAAAATCTCGATTTGCTCGAACAGGGGCGGCGAGGAATCGGTAGGTAATGATGACGTTTCTATTGTTTGCGCCCGCAAGTACGAAATGGTTAGGATGACGTAAAGACAGAACATCCCCAAGGGACCGCTTAGGTAGATTTTGTGACATTTATTGTGCAGTCATACTTCGACACTCTTTTGCGTTACGTGTTATCAGTGACATTCTGTGGAGCAGTTGTTTCAGTGAAAGTTACCGACCAAAATTTTAACGACACTCGTTAAGCGCAGAAGAAGTTATAAGCTGCGTATAACTGTGTATATATAAACACTTGGAGAGTTTGCCAGACACGAGTTCACAAATCTTTCATTGGAAGGCTTGCCAGACACTCTTTCTCTCTCTTTGACCGGAATAAGACTCAGCCCCAAACAAGCAAGACGAGTGAGCATCGGCTAGCTTATCACTAGCAGAACGACAGACGATTACAGAAATTCGCCGACAGTCAAATTCTGTGCTGACTTATTCCCTGCTCACAGATATCTTTCCGCTATAAAGTTTAAATAAGACTAGAATGCGCGCGCGAGTGTGAATTGATCAAACGTCCTTTTTTTAATATCTAAGGCTTCCTTTCCGGCAAATAAAATGAACTGAATGTAAAAAGTGAAAGAGAAATAGCGAAAAATTCAACTTCTAGTTAAATCTTATCTTATGGTTTGGAATAAACTATTCTCGAAACTGAGAATGTTTTGATCAAAGCTGTGTAAATCGAACTGAAACTGCATGGAACCTTGCATTTCCTGTATTTATCTCATACACCTATTGTATGGAATATGTGTGAAAATCTTCGTTATGGATCGGTATATTTCAAAGAGCTACACAACGAGCAAGAATGCTATTGACCGACAATATACAGAGCGGGGGCAGCTGTACTGTCAACTATTACTAGTTTTAAATAAAGGCGTCTATGTTTGTTCATACACTTATACTGCACGAAAAATTGGATTTACTCACATTTACTCATGAACAAATATGATGCAAACGCGGTGCAAATGTGTGGCAAACATGGTAAATGCCGTATTTACTTCACTTTTACGTAGGGCTTGTAAATGTGTGAGTAAATACGGCATTTACCATGTGTGCCACACATTTGCACCGCGTTTGCAAAAATTAATGATCAAATACTATAACATGACTAGGTATTTGGAACTGAAGATAAGTCATACAAAAGATTTTACTGGAGTAATAGCTGATTCACTGAATGTAATGTATACGAAACGTTTTAAGAACACTTAGGCCTAGGCCTAGGCCAAACGTCGAACTTTTCATGAGATGGACCAAACTTTAATTTGCTGAGGTCGACCGGAATTAAGTTAAGATCGTCTGTTGGGTCAGACGTCGAACTAAGGACGTTCAACAACATGACTTCATAATGACATCAAATTACGTCATTGTGTCAATCAAATTATGCCTAGATATTAGAAATGAAGAGTACATTATTCATTGAGCAGCTTTGATATAAATAATCATCATCATCATCATCATAAAACATCCTCAATAACAATAACAGCAAACTATTATCATTGTTATTGTTGTTGTTGTTGTTGTTGTTGAGGATGTGATGATACTTATTATTGGGTTTACTTGTCCTCCGACAATGCATTTCAAGTTAATTACAAAGTGCAACAAGTGTTCTTACAAAGTGCGACAGCTTATTTTATTACAAAGGGCGATGGTCTGTTATTTCAAAGTGCGACAGCTTTTTTTTACAAAGTGCGACAAGTGTTTTTACAAAGTGCGACAGGTATTACGAAGTGCGACAATTTTATTTCAACGTGCGACAGGTATTACGAAGTGCGACAGAACAGCCCATCCTCAGAGACCCAGGGGCAGCTAGTCAGGACGACAGAATGTTCGTGGTGAAAGATTACAGTAAGATCGAGACAAGCAGTTAACAAAATGAACATTCCATCGTCCCGACTAGCTGCCCCTGGGTCTCCGAGGATGGTCTTGGCCTTACAGTAACAATTACAAATGAAAGGTGCAATTGCCAGTGGAGTCTAAGAGCGCTTTCCATTTGTCAGAACTGACAGGCCAGTCCATTCCCATCGCAATGATAATTTCGCTTTTAATCAAAACTCTCCAGCCAGGTCAGTCAAATCCTAAATAGTATGCACGAAGGAGAAAACTTTTGGAAAAAGCCTATTTCGCTTTCAAACTGACTGGTCCGGCCAAGGTCCAGCTGGCCAGTTGGCCCTAAATTTTATGTGATGTCACTGTGGCGACCTCTATGCCACGTGGGACAGCTCTCTAATATTTTGGTCTGTCCTTACAGTGGAAGACTACGTGAAAGAAAAACCCGATTTTCAAATTAACTACGGTGCCAATCCACAAATAAACCGGCAAGTATAAGTTTCAGTCTGACCTATTGGTAGCACTTCACACAATACACAAGCGATCTTTTTTCTTTAAGACTTTCAAACTTCTTTTAAAATTTTCAACTTTTCGAGTTAATGAGATGCGAAGTTGAGTTTCCCGATTAAGTGCCTTGAGATTTTAGATACTAGGCCCAGTTAATACACACATTATTGCTAAACAATGTCAGGTACTTCTAATAAAGTCATGACAAATAGAAAAACGGCTGGTACAGTCTACATTCAATACGGCTTGAAGCTTTTCCATTCAAAATCTGTTGTTGTTGTTAATGAAATAACTGAAGCAGCAACATACTCAGCGATGAAAATGACAGGAAAGTCGCAATAAAGAAAGTAGACAAGCGTGACAAAAGCACACTAAACTTATTTTACTGAAGTTGTGCGTATTGACTCAGACCAATAATATTCAGGGGAGATATGTTCGGTTACATTTTTGTTTTGCACTCATGATGCAAGTTCACTTTCGATTCCTGCACGGACAGTAGTAGGAAGTTGAGTGTCCTGAAAAATGGACGTTAGCAAACAACAGCAACACTCCATTGTATAAAAATTATGCTACAACCAGTTTTCAAGTTATGTTATGTATACACGGATTAACATATTGAAAATATTGGGCGGTAGACGGACTGTCAAAAAAAACATAACACGGATTTAAAGGAGGATTTAAGTACCTTCGCTATTCACCGCCTCTGGAATGCACTGTTGAGGCTACAAACTCAAATAACCACACGAAAAAAGCATACTGTCAACACGTAAATTTTAAAGAAAACACATCTTTCATTCAACCTTCCAAAGGCAAAAATCTAAGATAAGTCCGATGCCCTTGAAGTAGCAGGCAGCACTCGTGAAAGTCTTACGCCAAAAAATCCGGATCAAGGATAATTAATATGACACTCAGTAAAATCATCATGCCCAGAAAGACGGATTCACTATGCAAAGCCTGAGAAGTTCAGTCAATGTGACCCGAGGCACTTTGACTTTAAATCTCTTTTGCTTTCGTCAATACAGTCTAAGCGACGAGGCTATTCAGTCGGACACTGGCTGAAGTCAACCCAACCAGTATAACATAGAACATTATAACGTTGAAAGTGCAAATTACTAGCGTAAAATACCACTTCGAGCTGAAAAGCGAAGAACTGATGCAAAGCTTACATTGAAAGGATAAAGCAATAAGATTTTATCCACAGAATTAACTCGATTTCGAAACGAATGAATGTCAGTAATTTGCGATGGGAGAAATGGGGTATTAAATAACTGTATCATCGAACTGAGCGCCTACAGAATAAGCTTAAATTAGTCCAATCTACTGCCTTACAATAAACTCTGTATTGCAATATTTCAATTGAAGATATTGTACGAACCTTGAGTGAGGCAAAATGTTCAATAAAGTGAGTACAAGAACTTCTTTCACCACGATTCCTCCACTATGGTGGCCCACAACTGTCAAGGCAAAACCAAAAACCTCACGGCAAAAGCAAAATACCTCACGCCAAAACCAAAAACCTCAGGGCAAAAACAAAATACCTCACGGCAAAACCAAAAACTTCACGGCAAAAACAAAAACATCACGGCTAAACCAAAAACTTCACGGCAAAAACAAAAGGCCTCACGGCAAAACCAAATACTTCGCAGCAAAAGCAAAATAGCTTTGGTTTTGCCGTGGGTATTGCTTTTGCCGTGAGGTATTTGGTTTTTGCTGTGAAGTATTTGGTTTTGCCGTGAAGTTTTTATTTTTGCCGTGAGGTTTTCGGTTTTGCCGTGAGGTATTTTGTTTTTGTCGTGAGGTTTTTCACTTTTGGTTTTGCCGTGACAGTTGTGGGCCACCGTCCCGGCCACGGTGAACGACGCAGTTCTCAGAACGCGGAAGCTCTGGCAGGATGTTGGTCATGTGACTTACTTGTTGCTTTTACGGGGGATGGAAGGTTGAAGTCACCGATCCCCAAACAGATAGTCAGGAAATTACGAACACGAAAATATAACGGGAGGAAACTGGGGAGAGGAAAGGCGACTCTCTCCGTTCCTTTTTTTCCCGTTTTCCCAGATCACATGCTCATTTTCGAGTGCCTTTTACCTATGCGTCATCCCTACTATCTGAGAGCTTGGAACAGGCTAAACACGGACAATATCGGTGTTCGCGCTTCCTGTCAGGTAAGGTTATGCGACTCGAAGGGACGGCTGATGTAATCTGTCTGATGTAATCTGCAAACAATATTAATACAAGCTCTAGATTTGGATGGTGCAGTCCTTTTTAGTTGTTAAATAGAAATACAATGTAGTAGCAAGAGTTAAGATAAAACCCACCGTTACAGTTTTCAATTGTAAGCCAAAAAATCAAAGAGGAAAGTCCCTGTATGCATCAATGTTAGGAAAAGCTAGTTATTAAGAGCTATTGGGGCTTGCTATATCAAACGTCATAATACTAGTAATAGTTAACACTACAGCTGCCCCCGCTCTGTATATTGTCGGTCAATAGTATTCTTGCTTGTTGTGTAGCTCTTTAAAGGGGGGAATTTCATATATCCAATGATGCATCACTTCATACTATATTATCAAGCTTCCGAACAAACTTGATGCTATCGGTTCAACAGGGACGTCACAGTTGAACAGCAGTGGAAAACGACTTATGGGGGGTGACAACTGTAACAAAGGCTGACGGTTTGGGCAGTCCTATGAATAACTTTATGTCCTCCCGGAAATTTCGTCGACCCTCCCGAACTTTTCGGTGGCATTCCCCATAAATGTTTAACTTCCCAAAATTGTTTTAACAATTAAAATTAAAATTTTGATTAGAGATTTTTTGCAGCTTCTTGTTAATTATGTAACTTGTTAATTATCTAACCTTAGTGATTTTTTCGTTTAGAGGGTATCATGTTAACACAGAAAGACTGTCAAACTTTTTAAGTGTATAAAATCGTGTTTTTTTGTTTTTTAATCACTGATGAATCAGGCGAGCAGTGAAGGGGCCAACCACTAGGGGGGCCAGGGGGCATGCTCCCCCAGAAAATTTTGAAATCTTGGTGCTCTGAATCGCCATTTCTAGTGTTCTGAGAGGACAAATTCTGTCCAAAATGTTCTCTAAATCAGTACATATATCATGAGTATTGTGCGAACTTACCCTTGACATTTGTTTTCAAAACTACAATGAAATAAAGGCGCATTAACTTTTGAAACACACGTAAACCAGAGAGGTTCCAGCCTTCAAAAGTAATTGACGCACAGAAGTCGAATGCTCTAACTAATGCTGAGCTATTTTACTGAGCTTTTACTTGCTACTTTCAACAAAAACGTAATAATTCTTCCGGCGAAGTGACAGTGCCATATGGTGGAAAGGTACAATAATAGGGCTGCCTTGAATGTGAGAAACTCTTAAGCGTAAGCTCAATTTGTAATCAATTCGTTTAGCACCTAAAGGGATCGTGTAAATAACCAAATTCCATCTCTTTCCCGTCCTGGACATTGGCGCCAACTTTATCTCCTTGTTCGCTTTTAAGATCCAGCAATATAAAAGTGTCGCCACCTACGGTACGCGGGAACTTTCGAGTGATCACGGGTATTGATGTTGCTTTTCCCTTCCTGGTTTCAAGGCCTGACAATGCCAGCTGCAGTGGTGGGCTATTACTGCACAGGCAGGCCTGTCCATGACGATACCCACATTATTATCTGCGTCTACCACTCGCTCTCGCTGTGATCTCCATTGATCACGGCAGGTAAACTCTAGTAGACAGTAGGTTCTAGTTCTGGTTTTCCATTGTAACGGTAAGCGTCGACTCTGTAGCAGATCTGAAGTGATTTGACGCGAAGGAGATGAATTGTCGAATGAAACACCCGAAGCGGTAGCCTTCATAAAGGCTTTATAGTTGCGCCAAAGAGGCCGCTTCCTTGTTACTTAGTAGTAAAGTGCTTCATCAAATTTTAATCTCTGGAAATCACATTCATTCAAAACCAGCCAACCACCCCACCTAGAATTCTTATAATTAAGTGGTAACTTCTTTATGCAGAAAACTTTTTTTCTTCCTTAAAGACTGGTTTCTTCACAGATTTTTAAACTATGGTATAAAGGGGAGTGGCAGGTCCATTCTAAGAGCTAATGCGCCCGCCAAATACACCTGCTTTGCATTGACTGCAAACAGAAATTCTCCGTGGCAAGCAAAACATTCACGATATCTCCAAAGGTTTTGCGTCCTACAAACATGTAGTAGTTTCATAAACCGGTACAATGGAATTCCATAAATAGGGACACAAAGGGGACACGCTAGTGTGTCCGTATTAACCGGATGTCCGTATTAAACAGTCTCTCAGAGTCTCTCAGATAAAACGTAACAAGTTCATCCTCTATATATTGCACCCTGCCACATAATAAAAGTGCAAGTCGAATTTGCCACAGATGCAGTGTTATTTTATTTCTATTATTTTAAAGATGCAGAACATTTTTATCATGATAGTTTTTAATAAGCCTTAGTTTTGAAACTTCTATAGAAATCCTCGACAAAAGCAAATACTAATTTTGTGGCAATTAATCACGTAATTGATGGCACTTGTAACCATGTGCTCACTATTAAAATAAATCAATATGGAAGATCCGTTGAATTAAATGACCACATGTAGCCCGGATCGTTTTGTCTACATCTATAACCCCGACAAGCAAACTACATGTGCATATGTAATAAGCAATTATGGATAATTAGACCTAAAAAACATCTCAACCAAAACTAACCAAAAAGAACAAAGACTGAGAGAAATTTAGGACATTCAGTTCAAACTCCCCCCTCACTGACCAACCCCATTGTCGAGAGTTATTTTCCACACTCATCTAGAACTATCATAAGTAGTATATTGTATATTGATATGAACGTAGGAAACAAACGAGCACCTGAGATGGCCTCTCTTGATTAATTTCTTTCTCGGTATCTCACGCCAAAAGCGAACAATTTAGACTGTTGAATGTAGAAAGAATGCCAATATGTAGACAACATACCGTTTCTTTTGTTTGTATTTTTCTCTGCAGCTTTAAATGAGTGTCCTCGGAAAATCAGCTTTTTCTCCCACTCTGGGAAGAATACCGTGTAACTTGTAACACGAAAGGGCTGCCTTCGATGTGAGCACCTCGCAAGCACACGGACAATGTGTACTGACCTAACCTCCCCTGACCACCATTCATTAATATCATATCACTAAGGAAGTCTTGATAAGGGACAGTATATTCTGCCAAGTACGTCCCGTTGTCATTGTCTTTTACATCCACCTTAACTTCGCACTCTCCCTTATTTAGTTTCACCGCGTAAACGTCACCACCTCGCTTGCGTTGACGGCTTTGGCTGTCGCGAGAAATAATGGTGAATTTTGCTATCTTTCCAAGGTTTGCACTTTTTATTCCCAAGCCAGTCGCAGTAGAGTTGGCTGCACAAGTTGATCTGTCACTGATGTCGCCGGCGCTCTGCCGGATAGCTTTCTCTATACTCTTGCCAAATGTAAAACCCGCCATGCCAAAAAAGGACTAAAAGAGTTTATTGCAGTAAGTTAAAAAATATATAATTTTCAATAACAAACGATTTACGACTTTTTTTGTCAGTAGTTGGGCTGTTTAAGACTTTATTTTATTCCGATACGACAACCATATTTCAGATTTATAATCTTTGAGTTGGTTCCCGGCTCCTTTTTAAAGTTAAAGGTGTGTTTCAAGGGAGTAACATCATCATAACGGAAGGGCTGAAAAGCAAAATGATTCAATCTATCTTCTCACTGTACCCCCTAAGAGTCTTTGGAGGGGGTGAGAGGCTTTTTTTACATCTAGTGAATTTCTCTGCTGAAGGGAGAAACTCAATAAATTAATGTTAATTCATTAAAGTTTTTCTCCTGTACAATATTTTCCTCTTGTAACAGTCGACGCCTGAGTTTAGCATTAAGTTCTAGTATTCTATCTGGAAACAGACTAAAAAGATCAGTTAAGACTTCGATTTCGGCCAACAATAATTCTGAGGTTTGTATTGAGAAATAAACGTCTCGATCAACTATTTTCGCAAAATATATTGATTAGTTCAACTTTTTTCACAATATGGAACAGTGAAACGCGAAGAGCACCTTGTGCTTACTGTTCAGAACCGCCTCAAAGATGAAAGGATCAGTCATATTTATTTTATCCATTCACATCTCATCAGCAAACAATCGTTAACAAGAATCACTAAAAATTACCTGACCGAAATTCACTTCAAATTGGTTGATACTAAGCAATGTTATCCTCGGGAACCCAGCAGAAATCGGGACGGGATAGAAAAGTGTGTTGTCTGGCCTCGAACTGTTGATAGAACTAAAACAGTTATTGAAATCTCACCTTTTCTTCCTTTGTAAACTCAGGTAAAAACTGGGCCTCCGGTTCAAGCACTAAAGAGTATAGCTTTCATGATTTGTCTCGAAAGTGGACACTATAGCCAGCCTACTGAGAAGGAAGTTAACATCGCCAGGAGATTGTATGGAGGATTTTGCTTGTTCAACTGCACTCTCTAAACATGCTTTGTTTAATTGCAAACGTTCTAGCTGCCCCGTGAGGATGGATTCCTTGGATTGATGTAAACTGATCAGCTTATCCAGTAGAACTTGCTCTCGGCTATTTATTGCGTCACGAAGCTGTCAGGAAAAAAAAAAGCACACTCACATATTCCCGAAACTTCTCCAGAGTTAATATAATTTGCATGTTGTCGTTCAGCAGCCTGATATTTGAAAACAAATAACAATATGATCCCTCACCGATGCTTTTATTTTAATATTAACAGCAGCTAGTAGTTACTGTTATTCCAATGTTAATCATTTTCCTGGAGGTCTACTTCTACTTATACGTATCTAGTTCGAGAGTGGATCGAATCACTGACTTCTGCATGTCACTTTGAGTGCATTTTATTCTTTATCTCAGTAACTACCAGCATAAACCGTATTTCATTTTTTGATCATTACTCGTAATTGCAATTGGTTCTTGTAATATCAGGCAATTTTTGCTGCTTTGATTTCATTCGAACGAATAACAAAGACATGCCTTACTTGTTGAAAAAACTCTTGAATTCCACCATTCCTTTCTTTGCAAGCCTCCTTCATAGAAACACTTGCTCTTATCACTTCACCTTCAGCGGCTTTAATCTTTTCGAGTTGAGAGCTAGCTTTGGTGACAAGTGCTTCCATTTGCTTTCGGTACTTTTGAAGCAGCTTCAGCTACAGTTACACACTTGTGCCCACTATGATTAAGGGCGTGACAGTCTCTACAAGTTCACGACTACAATCTTTGTCAAAAAAGCGGAATTGATCGTTATGTTCTGGACAGAGAACAGATACAGAAGGCAGCTGAGAGTTTGCTTTCAGCTCCTCGAGAGAAACAACCCGGTGGTCACGACTTGTTTTGCTGCGTTTATGAAACTGAACTGCAGTTTTGCAAGTTTTCGTTGCATTCCAAGCAACAGAAAGTCGCGGGGTGTTTCTCATCACAAGCCTCACAACCGTGCGTGCCTGTATGTTCTGTATGTCCAGCTTGCTCTTTGGGTGCTTCCTTCACGATGTCCAATAACGCAAAATTCTTTAACAGACCTTGGACTCCAGTAGGAACTGCGACTGCATGTCTGCATTTGGGACAATCAATGCTGTTACCGTGGAGTAGTCTCTCCAAGCAGCTAAAGCGAAAGCTGTGTCCACAACTCAGAAGCCGAGGACATTTTTTTTCGTCATTGTAACGTTCATAACAGATTGAACACTCTGGTCCCTTGAACGCCATTGTCTGAAAAAATCAACATTTTTCACAAATGAATGAAGAGGTAATTATCGTAACAATAAAAAATCGGAAAAAGCGCTCTCTCAAATTTGGCACGTTTTTGTCGACCCTATTAAGCATTGTTTTCGCTGGCAGTTTTCTTTTCTCAAGAAATTCTTTCAGTCTCATAGAGAAACCTTTCTACAAAATTTGTACATTATACTGCCATATTGTTACGCAAAAAGCAACGTCTAAGTTCACTTCTGTTCAAGTGGAGTTTTGGAAAATTAAAATAAAATACCATAACAGATGACCAAGAAGATATTAAGTCATACGGCACTGAATATGAAGTATATGAAACAATTTACGAACCCTTTCAATAACAATCACGAATCAAAGTGCGGTCCTAAAGAGATCTCATTGTGGTGACCTCAATAATACAGACACCACTCTAATAAAGGCACTTTCGTCTGTCGTTACAGTCAGGTCAAGCTACGTCCACTGAAAGAATGCAATTCAATTTTAAGTTTTAAAAGTTTCAACTTTCCGAATCTTAAATGACATGCAAAGTTACGTGCCTTGAGGTTTTAGCTACCTGGCCCGGTTAACACACCCACACACACACGCTAAACAATGTGATAGTTCTCAGTAATAAGTCATAACAGATAGTAAAACGGCTCGTACATTTTGAAAAGCCAGAGGTTTTAAGTACATTCAATACGGCTTGAAGCTTTTTGATTCAAAATCTCTTGTTGTTGTTGTTATTAATGAAATAACTGAACCGAGAACTTTTCGGTGTCGTCACCTAAATCCATCCAACCAGGTAAAGAATACCATTAACGCGTAAAAGTGTAAGAAATCATCGCATAATGATCCCATTTAGTACGTGAGGGTAAAGTACCGTAAATACTGATATAGAGCTTACATGAACGCATTATTTCATCCACAGCTCTAGACTCGACTTGGGTTTGCTTGGATTTGGAAATGCCTCAACGAGCTGACCCGGCAGAGCGAGCGATGGCAGAATTAGGTTGAATTAGTCGACTCTGCTTCCTTACTATAAACTTTGCCTTGCATCATGTTAATAAAAGAAGTTGCACGTACCTTTTGTAAAGCAAAAGGCTCACCGAAAGTAAGTGTAAGAACCTTTTTGAGCAGGCTTCACCGTCAGCAGTTCCGCCTTGTGCCTTACCTTGTGCCTTGTTGAGCGGTTGGCCGAGCGGGCTTGGTCCACTAAATTCCAGTTCTCACTCCTTAATTTCTACTTCCCTCTCAATGCAAGTCTCAGTGGTTTCCAGTCCTCGTTCCTACTTATGATTCACATCCACAACGGTCCGAATACCTGTTCACACTACGATATGTACGCTCCACTTTGCACTCCAGTTACTGAGTGAATCGCACCGAAATCAGCGTTGTTTTGTGTGAACAAGAGAGAATAAGCTGTCTCATTCTCTCTTGGTGTGAATAGGAGCCCTATCCAGTATGGTATGGGAAGGTCCATAATAATAACCTAGAGTTGCTGACCTCATTATAAGAGGCCTTTCTCAGTACTACGTTGAAAAAATATCGTGTGCCAATCTACATTTTAGAGAGCCGACTCGGTGAAACTCAGAGCTACTTCTCCCGCCAAATACGGCTGCTTTGCATTCACTGCAATACAAAATCCCTGCTTCACTACGTTATAAAATCTCAAAAACTATCTCGCAAAAAATTCACGGTATCTCTAACAGCTTTATGGTCTTTAACATACACGTAATAGTTTTATAAATTGGTACACGGGAACCTAGTTTATACGGACACCAAGGTGACAGGCCAGTGTCTGTAGTATTATTAAGGCAGGCTCTCAGAAAAAAACGTCAGGGTTACATGCTGTATCGATGTGAAGACTAAGACAGACATCTTTAGGCAAAAAGGCTATTTAATTTCTTAACTGTAACTGTAACATGTTTGTCCTAAAGAAATCTCACAATCATTTATCAAAGTCTACTATAGTCCATTACCTTTTAAGAATTTAGCGAGGCGTGATCTTAGAAAAAATATGTGGCCTTTTTATCAGGAAAGACGAAACTGTCCGTAATAAATGTGTGTCCATACAGCGGGGTTCCACTGCATATATTGCACTCTGCTACGGTAAAAATAGAAATACACAACAAAAGCAAATACTGCAGATTTCGTGGCAATTAATCACGTATTTATAACCATGTGCTTACTAAATAAATCCTTATGAAATGATCCGTTGAATCGAATGACAACATGTAGATTGGATCGTTTTGTTTAGATCTACAACCGAGGCAGAGAGTATTGTAACTTGTAAACATTTCTAATGGTTACTGGTAAAAAAAATCTACCCAGGACGAGCACATTATTATAATTATTATTATTATTATTATAATTTTTTTTTTTTTAACTAAAACTTTATTCATAGATTTAAAAAAATAGACTATTTACAGATTATTATTATTATTATTATTATTATTATTATTATTATTATTATTATTATTATTATTATTATTATTATTATTATCATTATTATTTTGTTCTCGTCAAGTTCCCTTTTTTCCATCCACTGTTGGCCGGGTCCTGGGGCGTTATAAGGGAAAAAGTTACTTCAGTGATAGTACTTTCCTTAGTATGTGGGATGTATCAAGCATTGTAATTTTCTAGGTTTCATTGGTGCTAATTTTACCCAGGATTCTACTAGTGACCTTGTCTAGTCCCTTCTTAATTAGCTCTAGGGCTCCAACGACCACTGGTATTGTTTCCGTTTTCATATCCCACATTCTATTGACTCCATTATTATGAGATGTTGTTGATAGATGCCTACGACCAAAAACACATGTAATCAGGGGCACCCAACGACCGTTTTTTAGGAAATATCTTTTCAGAGCTCTCAAGAATACCTAAAATTAACCAACGACTAAAGTTAAATTTTAGTAAGCTGGTTTACTAACTTGGAACAAACGCTGCCGAATCACCTTATACAGTTATAGCTAGTTACCAGCACCTTAAAAACGACTTATTGACGGACTCACGATCAAGAAAAACTGACAAGAACAGCGACCGTTATGACTAAAGACGGTTTGAAACGCACCAATCATACGTACAGTCTTCAAAGTCTATAACATCACGGCTTAACTCACAGACGACCAAGAACATTCCAGTGTTACTGACCAAACAGATCAATAACTAAAGTCACGTAATACCGTCCGCCAACTGAGATACTGCTTGCTTTAACTCTGAAGGTGATTACCACACAGGTTGTCGAAACATCAAGTACTGTCAACGACAGTCTATTCAGGACTACACTCACCCAGACGATCAAAAACCTACCTATGTTTTAAAAAGTATTGTTCCAACTCCTCTGTCTTGAAAAATAACAAAAAACATTTGTAATAACTGCTCTGCAGTCGAAAAGAATTTTACAGAAAAAGGCCTAGGGCTGCCTTGAATGTGAGCACCACGAAAGAGCACGATCAGCTTGTAAAGGCTTGGTAACAAAGCTGCAGGGACAGTGTAACTAACCAAATAACTACCATCACCTCTGTCCTCTATATTTCCTGTGGCCTTCTTGTTACCAGATTCATCTTGAAGTTCCACCACAAACAAGTCGCCACCCAGAGTCCGCCGACGTTTTTGGGCATCGTGAGCAATAATAGTAAAGTAGCTCTACTTTCCCGCCACTGCCAAATCCAATCCGCTACCCCTTGCAATTGTATTTTCTGCACAGGTTGAATCGTCAATAACGCCAACCTCGTTATTGAGCGCTTCCACTAGGTCCTGCAATCTCTTGCGATCAAAAGTAAGCTTCGGGACAAACTGGACCTCTGGTTCAAGCAGCATTGATTGGTTTTCTGTGTCCTTAAGCATCGCCTGTAAAGCGGACCTGGCAACCAGCAGATCAGCAGCACGAGAGGATCCGATGAGGGAAGAAAAATTCGCTGCACTTTCTTGAAATTTGTGCAGTCGGTCTTGCTGCTCTGAGAGGATGGCTGCCTTGTTATTGTATAGCTCTTCCAACTTATTCGTAAAAATTTGCTCTTTCGCATTGAGTGCGTCATGCATCTGTAACGCATAACAAACATGACGTCTAAGCAATTATCTTAAAATATCGTAGATCAGCAAGGCTGGAAGAGAAAAATTGTTGTTTTAAATTCTATTTTCTTGGATGGTATTGTTTTGTATAATTTATTACTATTGGAAGGCACCAAACAGAAAACTATTGAAACAGGAATTGAGGAACATGTTAGCAATAGTCCGGGTAAAGAGTGCGAGTAAGATTAGTCATTGCTTCAGCCTTATAAAATCGTTCGTAAAATGTATTGTGGTTTGAAAACGTGTAGAAGACTTCGATACTTTTGGGCCTTGAACAAACACCAAAAAGATCAAAAACCGGTTTTTCATAAACGCCCTCGAAAATGGCTTCTTTTAGTGGATGTCGATCGTCAGTTTAGTGTGTACGGCCAGGACAAAGGGAAAGCGAAGGTATTCGAAGACGCTGACAGGATTGCTAGTCAAGCAGAACCGAACCTCGTAGATTTGTACTTGCCGCTGACCTTCCTGCTCTTTTAAGTAAATTGCTGTTACCGGAATTACGGTCCTTTAGAATTTATTGAGTAATTAAGCTAATTTTGTCATCGCACTATCTACAGAAATAACAACCCCGGTCATTTCATGCCCTTTAAAGTTATAAGTAATGTTGAGAAGTCTCCGGGAAGAAGCCTAATAGAGTCTTTTACCGACTTGACTATAGAAACGTTCCCTGGGTACCAGAGATTTTTCTCACTTGCGGCGGGAATTTTCGATGTTGGCCGAAGGCCGAAGCCGCGAGAAAAACGTTTCGCGCGGATCACTATAAAGACTTGACAGAAACCGGAAACCGCGCTAGAAAAGTCTCTGGCACCCAGGGTAATAGAAACGTGGAGCATCCGAGAAAAAACGATTGGTACCCAGGGAAAAGTGTTTGGGTGTTTGTGTGTGTGTGGAGATGAGGGGGGAGGGGGGGAGGGGTTGGAAAGGGGGTTGAC